TTTTTCCATAAACTCAAAAAAGATGAGTAGTAAGTCAGCAATAAGTGCAATTGGTGCTCTGAGAAACATGAACCAAAAGAAATTATATAGGGAACCTACTTTGAGAGATTAGCAAAAGAGACTCCCAAATCCTTAGATAAGAAGAAAGTTTGCCCAAGAAGGTGGTATTTAAGTCTGAGGTTAGATGGAAATAAACCAGTTACTCAAACAGTATAATGCTTAAAGAGCTATTTTGTAAACTATCGGGAGCTTAGTTCACACATGGTAGTTCATAAAGCAATTATAATACTTTAAAGAAAAAATTTTTCCATTGTTTTAACAAAAGACCTTGAGCCAAGGGCTGGGTTTCAATAGATCAAGAGTGAGAGCATTGCCCTGCTACATATAAAACACTGCCTGAGAAAAGGTAGTCTATGAATGGTTTAGCATCAGGTTCCCCAAGAACTGTGGTGTATTATGGGCAAGGGGGTGGCAGGCATTGCAGCCAAGAGGGGCCAGAGCAGACGGGGTAGGGTGCTTACCTAGCATAGGGTTGGCCCGGGTTCAATCCCTAGTACCCCATATGGCCCCCTGAGCACTACCAGGTGTGATCCCTAATCACAAAGCCAGGAGTTTGCCCTAGGAACTACCAGGTGTGGTTCCCCACCCACAAAAATTGTCATTTTCTGGGCCAGAGAGATCGCTCAAAAGGCTAGGACCATGATTTGCATTGGAGAAACCCCAGCTTCCCGCAAAAATGTACCTTTGGCCCTTGGCCACAGACAAGTGAGACTCTTCAACACAGAGCTGGGAGTAGACCCCAAGCAGCACTAGGTGTTCACCACCCACAAATAAATAAAATTTGTGATTTTCTGAATAAACCATCTCATTTTCCATTTTTCCAAGCTTCTTACCTAATCAATAGCATTTTCCAATCTTCTCTTACCTAATTAATACTGTCACTGTCACTGTCCTCCCGTTGTTCATTAATTTGCTTGAGTGGGCCCAGTAATGTCTCCATTGGAGACTTTGTGTTTGGCATATCGAATACATCATGGGTAGCTTGCCAGGCTCTGCCGACCTAATCAATAATTCTCTAATATATTTTTTTTATAGGCACAGTTTTTTTTTTCTTTTTGGGTCACACCTGGCAATCCTCAGGAGTACTCCTGGGTCTGCACTCAAGAATCACTCTTGGCAGTGCTCGGGGTCACACCTGGCGATCCTCAGGAGTTACTCCTGGCTCTGCACTCAGGAATCACCCCTGGCGGTGCTCAGGGCACCATATGGGATGCTGGGTAATGAACCCGGGTCAGCCGCGTGCAAGGCAAACGCCCTACACGCTGTACTATCACTCCAGCCCTAATAATTCTCTAATATTCTTGACATAAGGTTAATTATCCCCAAACTGACATATTTACAAGCACATAATTTTCTATAAGTATCTTTCTCAAACATAGATAAGAGAATTAGAGATAGAAAACTACTATCTAGGGACTGGAGATATATAGTGCAGAGGGAAGGGCATTTGTGTTGCACACAACTGATCCCCAGCATTCCATATGGTATCCCAAGAACCGCCATGAGTAATGCTTGAATGCAAAGCCAGGAGTAACCCCTGTGCATCGCTGGGTGTGACCCAAAAATGAAAAAAAGAAAAAAAAGAAAGAAAAGCCAACACGGCCGACCCGAGTTCAATTACTCTGTCCCTCTCCGAGAGCCTGGCAAGCTACCGAGAGTATTTCACCTGGATGGCAAAGCCTAGCAAACTACCCGTGATGTATTTGATATGCCAAACACAGCAACAAGTCTCACAATGTTACTGGGCCCACTCGAGCAAATCGATGAACAACGGGAGGACAATGACAGTGTTCTAGAAAGACTAAAACAGTCCAGGCACTTAGTATTTTGAAGTTAAGTTTTTCATATGCTAACACCATAAATCACTAAAGCATTCTTTCAGTGCTCAAGTTTTGAGTGGAAGTAGAAGATTAAAAGAAATGTGTAGTGAGATACAACAATCTTCACACACTTTCCTCAAAAGGAAACTTTTTTGGATCATTTTTAGCAGATTATTCATAACAAAAAGTACTGTCTGTAGCACTGTCCTCCCGTTGTTCATCGATTTGCTCGAGCGGGCCCAGTAACATCTCCATTATGAGACTTGTTGTTACTGTGTTTGGCATATCGAATATGTCACGGGTAGCTTGCCAGGCTTTGCCGTGCGGGCGAGGTACTCTTGGTAGCTTGCCAGGCTCTCCGAGAGGGGCGGAGGAATCGAACCCGGCTTGGCTGGGCTGGCTGCGCTCAAGCTGTGCTATGGCTCCAGTGATATAACAAAAAATACAAAATAAAAAATTTAGGACCTGGTTTTGGAGCAGGCTTAGATGGTGGTGGCAAAATTCAAAATAAGGATGGTGGGAAAGTGTAATGGTGGTGGGATTGGTGTTAAAATATTGAATGTAATAAATGTGAACAACTTTATAAAAATAAACTAAAATTTAAGAAATAAAAATAATAAAGAAATGTGTGAATTTATATGGACAGCAATATAAATGGAGGTGAAGAGGGGTCATAACAAGGAAGACATTTATCTTGGTAACTCAGTTATAGTCCACAGTATAGTACTTTAGGTATTTGGATCCAGAAACTTCAACCAAATTGAAAAATTATAAGCCTTAATCATATTTTATTAAATTTTGTTAGGAAGTATATTTTCATTTTGACCAGACTGGTACACAACTGATCATAATCTCATCCACGCCAATTTATTAGTCTAAAAAGAACACTGCCTTCTAAATAATATTCATCAGCACTTTTACATTTAGATTAACATATCTGGAATCAAAATGGGTGATTAGAATAGATGGTTGATGAATATGTAATCAGTGAAGGGATACAGCTCTTTTAGCCAGGCAATCATGAGGATTGATTAAATACTACTGCTCCTCAAACAATTAGCTTTTCAATTACCACAATTTTCATGAACTCTGAATAATGAATCTGTTCCCTTGCGTAAGAGTGTATAAATACTACCAAATTCTGCTATTCAATGCCTTTTCAATAATCAGTGCTGACTAACCATTCCATATCTGCTGACACAAACCATCTTTAGATAAGTTCATGTCATCTATTTAAGTCAGTAAACAAAAAACTATTTCAAAGTGCCTACTACCTGGACGCCCTGTTAGATGTCAAGCATCCAGGTTAGATAATATGAAACACATTCTCAAGAATTGATCTACAAGGAAGATTTCTTTCCTGATTTTTGACCTGGGACATGATTGTCAGTTTTTCAGAGTGTCTTCTGCATATATCTAATTTCACCCATAATATGGTGATGTTAATTTTCAGAGTTTTAGATTTACTTTACTGTTGCCCTATGTACCAACTTTACAAGGGATATTTTGTATGGAGGAGGCAACTGATATACTGAAGAGTCAAGTAGTTTGCTTAAAGTCAACAACTGACGGACTGGAGTGATAGTACAGCGGGTAGGGTGTTTGCCTTGCACGCAGCTGACCTGGGTTTGATTCCCAGCATCCCATACGGTCCCCAAGCACCACCAGGAATAATTCCTGAGTAACCCCTGTGTATCGCCGGATGTGACCCAAAAAGCAAAAAAAATAAATAAATAAAATAAAGTCACTAATTGAATAAGTAGTGGAGCCAACATTCAAATTGTAGAGGTCTTTCTGACTCTAACGATCAGACCACCCTTCTTCTCTTCCATGCAATCTATAAGAAACTGAAATCACTAAGAAAAACAAAGCACTAAGTGCATTTCTTGACCTATCTCCCAATTCAATAAGTATGCTGCCAAAATATTATCAGCAATATCAAGTTATAAATGTTTAATAAGTTTCTAGACCTCCAAGTAACTACCAGACCCTTAAATTTAGTATTCAAAAATAAGTAACCTTCATTTTAGTAATCCAAGGCACAATTCACTAATATTAAGTACTCAGAAAACAAAATAAAAACTCAGATCACCTTACTTGATAAAAGCTCTAACTTCATAAAACTAAGGTCCTTCTGTCAAGTAACACTGAAATTTTACTATTACTGTAAGCCTTAGAAAATCAGATTAACAGTAACTTAAAAACTAGGGGCTGGAGTGATAGCACAGTGGGTAGGGCATTTGCTTTGCACGAGGCTGACCCGGGTTCGATTCCCAGCATCCCATATGGTTCCCCAAGCACCGCCAGGAGTAATTCCTTAGTGAATGAGCCAGGAGTAACCCCTGAGCATCCATCATCAGGTGTGACCCAAAATGCAAAAAAACCCAACTAGGATTAAGTAAATTAAAAATAATACAAAAACTGGAACACTAAGTCTTAGCCCAGATCATCCAAAACTTTGTTGCTCATGTATTTTCCTTTAGTTTATGCTGAATTATTAGAAAAGGAATACTACATAAGCAACCACATTAACATCTACCTGTTTATATTTCTTGTGTTATAACAAGTTTATTACAACCTATAACAAAGAGTCACTGAGAACAAAATTAAGACACAAATCCTAAGTACAAATAAGAAAAATGTGATGAGCTGGGAAAGTAAGAACAGGAAATGGATAACAGGACTAATAGTTGGAGAGCAGTGAGAATATAAACAGCAGAAACTGCAACTCACCAAACAGGAAGTTCTAAAAATCACATGACACTCAGGAAAATAAAATTTAAAAATAAATGAAAAGGGGCAAGGTCGACAGACTGAATAAAGTCAAGGGAGAGGAAAAATGAAAGGGCTTTTTAATGAATACACCACAAGCTGTTTAAAATAATAATAAAATAATTAATGTTAAATTCAAATAATCTGGTAAAATTTTAAGGTCTAGTTTCACTTTCTTAGTTGTTTTCCTAATATTTACTTAATAAAGAACCATATTAACTATCAAGAAACTAAGAAGAAGCCATTCTCAAAATATATATGCAAATAGTTTTTGTTGGCTAAATTTTTTCAACAGAAAACATTATATACACAAGTTAGTAAATACCATCTGAATTAAATTGAGCTTACCCATTAATGTTGCTAGAAGACATAAGGAGTACATTTCTTTGTCAGCTTGTTCCTGAAGTTCCTTGGATGCCAGTTTACTAGTAACAGCAATATCTTCTTGTTTCACAGTGTGGGCCGAGTGTGCAGTGGCAGACTGACCACCTTCTGCTTTACTTTTTAGAATCTCTATTGTAATTCTGTCACCATGCTGTAAAGGAACTGGCTCCTTTTCCATTCCTGCCTGGGGTGGCATTAACTCTTTAGGAGGGAAGCCATATCGAATGCACTGTAAATATGGAGGAATGTTGAATTCCCTGGCAATACTTTCCTGAAGTTCAAAAAAGGTTGTGGAAGACTTGAGTGTAACCATGGACTGTCGCCCATCATTAGTTGTAATTCGGATCTTCTTCTCCTTCGAAGTGGTTGGTGAATAGGGAGATTTGGTGGGGGTAGCAGGTGCAGAAGATGGACCATCACGTATGGCACCTGGAGATACAGTCCTGGGATGGCCTTTTTGTTCTTGTTTTAACTTCTCTGTTTTCCGTTTCTGCATTATAGAAGCCTGTTCTGTAATATTCTGTTGAATAGTTCTTTCAGTTTTACTCATGTTTAACTCCTCCTTGTGCAAAGTTTTTGTTTTCTGTCCAGTAAGAATAATTTTAGTTGGGAGCTGAGGCTCTAACTCTTGTCCATCTCCAACTCTTTGGGCATGAGCACCATCTATATTTACAGGAGTATAATCATCGGGATTTTTTTTGGCAGTCTGATGCAGTATAGTGTGAACAACTTTCTGAACAAGGATTTCACTCCCAAATTCACCTGGAAAGTGCTTTGTAACAAGTTTCATTGCAACATCATAAACATTACTATTCAAAGAAGAATCACTTTCATACTGGAACCAATAAACTGTTTCTCTGACCACTCTTCCACCCCATTCCAAAGTAATAGGGAAAGCTTCTGGTAGATTGTCATACTCTTTACCCTCCCAAAAATGTTTGAACCCACAACCACACTTGCCACCAGTGGACCTAGTATTAGTTCTGTCCCCATCCATATACACAATAGACCCATCTCCTCTCACCCTTCGCACTGATGTGCCATGACACCAATTACAAGCTGTGAGGTTACTCAATCCATAGTCCGGTATCAGGACATCTTTCACTGAATCATAAGAGCAAACCAAATTGTTCAAGGGAAAGCTATAATTTTTGTCAGGTCTCAGCTGTCCATGGGTACTTTTTGCGAGGTTATACAGTTTCCCTCCTGGAACCAGCCACTCTGGAGGAACATGAAGTTCAGAAAGGGCACCACAGAGCAAACATTTATGAAGACGATTATCCATGACTGCTTTTTTAGCAGCTGCTGTGACTTCTTCAGGCTGAACTCCGATCACTCCAGTCCTCCTGTAGAAATACTGATGGACATCAGCAACCAAACTAGGATGAATACCATGTTTGTCCATAAAGACTTCTTCCATAGCAGCAACAAGCCTAAGTAAGTATTTATCCTGCAAACTTCTGTCTCCTCCAATAACACAACCGCCATCCTCCTCAAGTTTGATATACTTTTTAATTAAGTCCTGAGGCACACCCCATGCTTTTGGAAGCAAATTCATTGGCAGTTTGGGCAAAGCAGCCCCTTTGATGCCTACCAGGGGGATATAGTGGTTCCTACCGGAGCTGCTCCATGCAATACAGATCGGTTTGTTCAAATGACCATCCTTCCCAGTACATTTCTCCGCAGGGACGAGTCCAGGCAGAAAAGTGGCTGAATAATCACCAGAGCTTCTCATCCCACTGAGAGAATCTAGCAGAATAATGGGACGATGTAACACGTTGGCAAGGCCAAATATGTGGATGTTCCTCAGGCCCAAGGGAACACCCTCGGGAGGTACAAAAAGAGGGTCACACTCATTGATAATGTCCTCCCACTCAGCAGCATCAATGAAGTCGTGGAACAGGGCTTGGTACTGGGCCAGGTGCTGCTGGAAGTGCTGTTTCAGGTTCTCTCGTAAGGCATGCCAGAAGAGCTCTCGGCCCACTAGCGCCCGGGACACTGCATGCACTAGGCAATGTCCATCCCCGTCCACATGCACTGGGATCAGGCATTCTTGGCTTTTGTTGGCCCGTTTGATATCCTCCAGGGTGTCGTGCAAATAGAGGAGGCTGCCCGAGCGGTCCTTGCCATAGCCCACCGTGTTAACGTGCTCGGGTTCGATGAGGAATGCGCGGTCACCCAGCAGAGCGCAATCGAACAGCTCGCCCTGGTTCATGTCCCGGAGGAGCTTGGCCCGCCCTGTCTGTTTGTCCATGCCGTAGCGAGCCAATATGGGCGACAACAATTTGCAGTGGTAGTTGGAAAGGCCCATCACCTTGACCAGTTCCGTGTTCTTCTTGGGTGCGCCCGTCACCCCGAGCAGCGCGTTCCGGAGCAGGTTGTGTAGTACGACGTCCGGGTCGGTCACCTCCTCCACCCCCAGCAGCTGTTGCTGCTCGTGCCGCTGTCCGCACTCGGTACACTCGATGCTAACAGAACCGGAGGCCGGGAAGAACAGCCGCGCCTGGCACTTGGGGTCCGGGCAGCTCCCGGAGAGGATTCTCCGGTCTCGTCGCTTCGAGAGCCCACCCGGAGCGGCCGCCGCCGCCGCCGCCAGCGGTGGCGGAGTCTGAGGAGCCTCAGGAGGCGGCGGCGGCGGCGGCAGCGGAGGCGGAGGCGGCGGCTGAGACATCGCGCTCGGCTCTCGGGTCTCTCTCCGCGTCCCAAGCGACCCTCAAAGGCTCATAGCCCAGACCCCCGCCGGTCCACTCGGTCTAGTCCAGGCCCCGGGCGAACACTTCCCCTTCCCTACCAGCTCCGCCACGTCCTAAGGAAAGGTGGAAGCGCCGGACGTTGTTTCTCTTCTTACTTCTCCACTGCCGTAGCCGTTGCCCCGAACGTAACGGCCACCACCCTACCCCGCACTCACACTCACTCCCTCTCGCTCTCTCTCTCCCTCAGACACACAGACATACACGCCCTCGCTCGGTGTGCGCAGGCGCAGCTCCCGCTCTGCCCGCTGGGAATTGGAGTCTCTCGGCCTCACGCCTGCCCCTCAGGTACGAGGAGTTTGGGTCCTTGACGAACTACAAATACCGGGAGGCCAAGCCCCGCAGCGCCCGCGAAGAGGCGTAAGAGGAAGGCGATAGGGAGGAGGGGCAGAAGGGAAGAGGTCACGCAGGTGGCCTCTCGGGAGTTGTAGTTCGAACTGGATCTCTTCGGCCGTCTTCCCGAGTCAGGGGCCCAAGCAAAGGCGCCTGAGAAACTACATTTCCCAGGATGCCGTGCGGCGCCGCCGTCCTCACTTCCCGCTAACGCGGAGGGATGGATGCTGGAAAGCTCTGTAAAAAACCGACTTAAAGGCAATTGATGTCGGAAGCGGAGACCCTGAAGTTCACGACTCTTGGAGGGGAGGGGAAATGAAAGGCTTTCAAAGAAGAAGGTACCGTACATTCAGCGGTATGGCGGCGTGGGAAATGGAACGAAATTAGTAGTGTGGGCTGAAGATCATGCGAGGAGAAAGGTGGGATTCTCCCAGCGTTTCTTAAAATTTTTTCCCACCCCACCCCACCCCCGCCCTCGAACCCCCACTGCCTTCTCTAGTCTCACTCCTACATCTAATCCAAGCCTTGGAGGGGCCTCAGAACTTTCCTGCGTTTTGCTCCTTTTGCTGGGGACCGCCGATTCCCCGTTGATTTTCTTGATTGCCGTTTTTGCACACTACACTTAATACTACTTGGGATGTGTGTATAATTTTATATACAAAGTCCTTTAACTGGACGTAGTACTGTTTGCTCCTTACAACCGTTCCGCGCCCTTCCCAAGAATGATAAGAATAGCCGTTATCAGGTTCCTAATATCTGTCCGTCAGGGCATTTCCATAAACGTGATCGTTTCATCTTCATTATAAACCTCTTGGAAACCCGGACAAAACTCACAGTTTCACGCAGCAATTCGTTACTGAACAGACATTCTGATCCACATCTCTACCGGTTTGCAGAGGGAGATATAGCAGGAAGGCTTAGACCTGTGACTACTGGTTCCATTTATCTTACAGTTGACATCATTTGTATATTATTTCATCTTCACAACTTCTCTGTAACACCTTCACCACATATTAGTGACTCCATGTATCATAATGGAAACAGACTAGGAGTTAAATGACATGACAAGGTGAAGTCACCCATTTGTGAGAACCACCCCAGAGTTTCTTTGAGAAGGAAAAAAAAAATAACCTTTCAACTCAAGACTTTTCGTAGACCTCAGGTTCTCCTTTTGTAAAAATTTCTTTAAAAAAATTTTTTTAGTCCCGGGTATTTACATTGCATGAATACAGCCTTCCAAGCCCCACATCCTATTGCCCTTCACCATTGTCTCACCACACACGCACACACCCCACACACCCCACACACACACCCAGCTCACTTCTGAGAACTGGTTCTCAGATTCTGTTGCTTTAGGCCAGTTATTGTTCCCTTGCTGAGCTTATTTCCCGTCTAGGAGACAGATCATCTGTGCCTGTCTCTCTTAGAACTTCACTCAACATGATACTCTCCAGATTCATCCATGTATCAGCAAATTGAATAACTTCTTCTTTTCAGGTATATATGTGTCTTGGTTTCCTTATCCAGATATATATTATTAAACATTTGGGTTGTTTCCAGATTCTACTGTGAATAGTGCCGCAATGAACCTAGGACTGCAAATGTCTTTTCTGAATAGTTTTTTGTTGTTTGTTTGTTTTGTTTTTGCTTTTTTTTTTTTTTTTTTGCTTTTTTGGGTCACACCCAGCCGATGCTCAGGGGTTACTCCTGGCTCTGCACTCAGGAACCACTCCTGGTGGTGCTTGGGGGACCATATGGGATGCTGGGAATTGAACCCTGGTCGGCCATGTGCAAGGCAAGTGCCCTACCCGCTGTGCTATTGCTCCAGCCCCTTCTGAATAGTTTTTGAGCCTTTGGGGTAGAGGCCAAGAAATTGAATTGTTGGTATCGCCAGCTGTAAAAAACTCAGAGGGTGGCCAGGAGGTGGCCCTGATGGCTTTTCCCATGGCCGCCTAGGTTCTGGGGGGCCCAGGCCACTCCCCCAGCCAGGGTGGCCCCGGGCCCATGGGGCTGACGGCGGAGGAGACAAGGGCCAGGCTGGTTGGTTGATCAGATGCCATTTATTCCATTCTCATTCCTGTTTGCTCCTATCTCTTCTCTCCTGGTCCCCAATCTGGAACCCCTCTTTCCTGGCTCTTGCTCTGGATCTTCTCCTGATCTTCTCCCCCCAGCCCACTCTTACAGTCTAGTTAAATGCTCAAACCATGAGAGGCTGAGCTTAACATAGGTGTGGTCACAATCTATAAGGGTAAAGTTCTTTCCCTCAGGGGATGCCGCCTCTATAGGACAGATTTTCTTTCAGCAGGATGACCCACCCAAGGGTGGAATCCCATGAATGTTTTTCTCCTCTCCTTGTCCAACAAACATATAAGCATTCATAATCATTAATCATTTTGTATGGACACAGTAAGAGATGCATTAAGCTTATAGAATTACTGTCCTGGGGTCATCTCGGTCTCAGAGTATAGTGCTCAGGCCAGATTAGTGTTTCCTATTCCTAGCAGGGTCCTGGTCTCGTCGTTACTTTTGGGTCATGACAGCATTTGTCATAATCAAGCTCTTAACTTATAGTTAAGAATTGTGGCGCTTTGGCTAGGCCCATCTCGATGCCAGGGTAGCACATAGCTTACCACTTGCCCTGGTTCCTTCCAGTCTCTCATCAGGACCCTGCTTTTGGAGGTGCTAGGAAGTGAGGGCAACAGAGGCTTAAGTTGAGAAAGCAGATGCCTGGGAATGAATAATATTGGAAGCCAATTAAATCCCATGTTACAAAAGCATAATATTAATTGTCTTCTTGTATTTATACAAAAGGACATTGCTTGCTTCATCTGGTGAATATAAAGTAACAAAATAGGAGACCAACATCCTAGAATAGTCAAGATAAGTTACAGGAGGTTTACTCCATGGCTTGAAGGCCAGCCGCACATGCTACAGGAAAGGGCAACTCAGACAGAGAAGGGAACACCAAGTAAAGGGTGTTGGGAGTATTCTCCCAGGATGGGAGATGCATGCTGAAAGTAGGCTATAGATCGAACATGTTTGCCACTCATTTCCTCTTTTGCAGACCTTAGCAACCAAAAGGAGAGAAAGAACAAAAGGGAATGCCCTGCCATAGAGACGGGATGGGATGGGGGTATGGGTGGGGTGGGAGGGTTACTGGGATCATTGGTGGTGGAGAATGGGCACTGGTGGAGGGATGGGTACTTGATTGTTGTATGACTGAAACCCAAGTACAAAAACCTGTAAGGTCTGTATGTAAGGTCAATAGCTGTACCACATGGTGTTTCACTAAAAAAAAAAAAAAAAGGATTCTGCTTTAAAGTAAACTATTCAAAAGACTTAAGGAGAGGAGAAAGGCAATATTAACTTACAATATAAGTTCAGTGTCCTAGAAAGATCTGACCTTACAAATTAACAGGAACTGATTAGGGGAATAAGCTGATTAACTCTAAAAGAGCACAGAGAAGTAGTTACAAATAAACAAAAGAATGGAAGTGACTCGGGAAGCACTGGAATGGGTGTGACCCTATGAAACCTTAGCTACCCGAACAAGGACAAAACAGTGTTATCCTGCAACCAGCAATATGGAAGCTCAATTCTTAAGTTTTGTGAGGAGTCTCCATGTTGTTTTCCAAAAAGGTTGAATCAAGCAGCATTCCCCCTAGCTGTGAATGAAGCTTTTTCTTAACCCCACATCCATGTCAATACTAATTATTTCTGTTCTTTGTGATATGTGCCAGTCTCACGGGTGTGAGGTGGTATCTCATTGTTGTTTTGATTTGCAGTTCCCTGATGATCAGTGATGCAGAGCATTTTTCCACATACCCATTGTCCATATATATATTATTATATATTACATATCCATTATACGTACATAGTATTATTATATCCTTTGTGAATGTTTATGTTCATCTCACCTCCCCATTTTTTGATGCAGTTGGGTTTTTTTCTTTGTTTTACAAGTGCTTAATATATCTTGGCTATAAACTTTGTCAGATGAGTGGTGGGCAAATATTCTCTTCCAGTTTGTGGGGTGTCTTCTTATTCTAGTCATAGTTTATTTTGAAGTGCAGAAGCTTAATTTGATATTGTCCCATTTGTTTATCTTCCCTTACATTTGCTTGGCCATGAAATTACTGAAGGTGCCTCCAAGATTCAGTCATGGAAAAGGCTCTGCCTATGTTTCCTTGATATGATTTATGGGTTCGGGTCTGATATTGAGGCCTTTTATCTATTTTTAATTGATTTTCTGTATGATGTGACATAGGGGTCATAGTTCTTTTTTTTTTCTTAAGTGTGACTAATCAGTTTTCCCAGCACCATTTGCTGAAGGCTTTCCTTGCTTCACTTCGTACTCTTAGCTCCTTTTTCAAAGTCTGGCTGAGGATCTACTTGAGGATCTATCTCTGGATTCTCAATTCTATTCCATTTGTTGAAGAATTTAGCCTTATTCAAGTACTATATATGCTCTTGATTACTGTAGCTTTATAGTATAATTTAAAGTTGGGAAAAGACAAGCCTCCCATCTTCATTTTTCCTCTGCTTTGGTTAGTGTGGGCATGGTGTGGTCATTGCTCTATTTAGCAGAGGTTGTAAAGATACTATTTATCCTTGAGACAACAGTGCTTTTATTATTGCATGTTAGAAATCCACTTTTGAATGCCAAAAGTAATCACAGGTTCATTGAAAAGTGGTTGTTATTTTAATTATTATTGTGCAGTCAGTCCCCTTATTTTGTAAGTTTTTGTGTTCTGAAATCTTTCAAAAGTAATCTACCTCAAAACTTATGAACCATTTGCCACAAGATATCAGTGGGGTACACTACACAAGGTCATTTGAATCTTCTGTAACTAATGAGACAGTTTACCTTTTTAGTATTCTGAATTAAACAATGTAATATTTTGTAATTCGGAGAGCCCGGCAAGCTACCGAGAGTATTCGATATGCCAGACACAGTAACAACCAAGTCTCCAATGGAGACGTTACTGGGCCCGTTCGAGCAAATCGACGATCAACGGGAGGGCCTTTATCTTTATCTTATCTTATCTTATTTTGTAATAATTTATTAGATGTTCTGAAGTGTATTAGTATTGTTTTCTGCCTCATAGTCAATAATTTTCTTCAAAGGAATGGATGTTGGAACATTGTACTGAAACCCATTCATGAACAACTTTGTAACTGTATCTCAGGTGATTCAATAAAAAATTAGTTAATTAAATAATAACAATTTTCTACAAATAAGTAAATGGCATATTTGAAAGACAAATCCTTTAAGTGCTGGTATTTTCTTACGAATTCTACATATACTTCATGGCAGAAGTGTTACTTTCACACAGTTTGGTAGATGACTTGTCTCGAAGGAGGTAACTTTCTTTGAGTTTTTCTCAAAAACTTAATTCAGGCAGGAAAAGTTTTTCCT